CTCGTTCCCTCTGAGTTGATCTGTGATCACTTCTTGCGCGCGGACGTTCACTCTGAAGAACAGCCCCGTTTAAATACCGCTAAGGTTTTCATTCTGGACGTATCTCCCTGCACATGAAGTCGAGTTTCACAAGTGGCTTTGGTCGCAACAGATATCAAATTGGGATGAGATGGGTATATGGTGGCGTTCATAAACCGAAGGAACCAGATACTGACCTGGATCTCCTCTCTCTCCTTTTTGACCTGGAGCTCCTCGACTGCCGTCAACGGAGCTTGGCTCTCCTGCTATACCTTTGTCACCCCAAGTGCCTCGGAAACCTGGCGGGCCGTAAGCATCGGGACCTTTTGTGCAAAAAGAAGAGGAAGACTACAAAGTTAAGTGTCACTTGTCTAGACAGGAAAACAGGTGTTCCAGTGACATTAATTATCCACAGTGCTGTAGTGGTGGGGAAGGCATACTGGATGACTTCTGAAATGTCTAGACTACTGTCTTAACCGCCACACGGGGCTGCCCTTGAAGCTGCAGCTGGTCCAGAATCCAGTCGGCAGGCTGATTTCTGACATTAGTTATCTGCAACAGATGTTGAATGCTGATTTTCCCTCTGGCTAAATTCATGATGCTCAGTGTTTTCCCTAGGAATTGACATTAAAAGGAGGACTCGAATTTTCAAAGGTGCTGAGAAATGACGGGCGAGACTTTTAAGGTGGAGATGGGCATGGACTGCCTGATGCCATTGGGGGCGGGGGGGGGGGAAGAAAAATATTCCCTACCCATTTTATTAGGCTTAGAATAGATTTTGATCTCTTTGCATAATTCATCACTACGTAAATTAAACCTGACTGGTTGATCCTTCAAGGAAGCAATACATCTTTCTCATTCTTGGTTGCTATAATTTTTCATAATGCTGTTTAATGGACACCTTGATGCCACACTGCTCATCTTCTGTAGCTCTTCTTCGGGCCCAGCATTTCTGGTCCTTCGAATGAAATGCTCATTCATCCATTCAACACGACTGGGAAGAAGGTGACCTTTATCCGAACACAATTAGCTTCAGTGATGAGAAAAGGAAGCTCAGCTATAGCTGTTGAGTTTTGAAAAAATTCCTACCACTCACTCCAGAAAATATATTGCCAAG